GTAAAACTTTCACTAAAAGAAATAAAATGGTTTCCTTTCTTTAAGTGGACTTGACTTTGTATTATTTTCTTACCGAATAATAAAAAATAACCTGCATTTAGGCAAAAAAAATTCTCCCCGATGAGTCAGCAGTAAAATTCTGAGTTCGACTACCCACAATGGACATAGCATATATATAGGTAATTGTGTAGCTATATATGTGCGCTAAAACAACAAAAAAGAACTAAAAAAGTTTTTTTCCCCTCAGAAAACAGTGGTTGAAATAATTAAGTATTTAGCAACTGAACTACAAATTTCGGAATTAGATGGAATAATTCACAATCTAAAGTACCCTAATCGTAACAAAAAGAGGCAGAAAAAATAATCATTTTGAATTTAAATATCCGATAATGTGTAGTATGACATACATCTGGCTTGGCATGGCCTGGTGGTTATGGCGCTCGACTCGCAATCTGCGGGTCGCGGGCTCGAATCCACGGTACACCGAACATGTTCGCCCTTTCAGCCGTGGGGGTGTTATAATGTGACAGTCAATCCCACTATTCGTTGGTAAAAGAGTAGCATAAGAGTTGGCGGTTTGTGTTGATGACTAGCTGCCTTCACTCTAGTCTAACACTGCTAAATTAGGGACGGCTAGCGCAGATAGCCCTCGTGTAGCTTTGCGCGAAATTCAAAACAAACATACATGCTTCTGACGCTGCTTCTTTAAACTCTGCGGAATAAAGCAATGAATTATCGCCATTTAGTTGGCAATTCAACTTCTCAAGAACATTATCTATGTAAGTGAATGTAAGCCTGTATTTTACTCTCGAACAGTAATTCAAAATATAAATCAACATAATTGATTAGAGTTGTTTAAACATTTGTTTAGCAACAAGTAAAAGCTTGGAATGGACTATTCTTTCATTTGAGGGGGTGTCTGTGAGCCAGACTAGTTTTGGAGAATTCCACTCCTCAGCAGTGACCCTGGACACTACCACCAATGAAATATATTATTTCTTTTCTGGCAGTTATTTTGATTTGAAATTAATTATTTCCGAAGAAACAATTAATAATCAGGGGTGTTCGAAGATTAAGCAATCCTCCTTCACCCCGCGCGTGGACTAAAGGTATGGGCTTGAACTGAAGAACAAGAAATTAATACAAACAAGCTATGTAAACTTAAAAAAGGGTAATTAAAAACGTAAACGGCCGATATAGGACAAAGTAGCAATGAAATATCAGACCAAACCAAGCCTTTATAGTAGTGAGGTATCGAAAATCGAAAAGGTTTATTTAAGTGTTTTACACTCAGAAAAAACACTTAAATACACCTTTTCGATAAATCAACATAAATTTACAAAGACCTTGAAATGCTCATTTGTTTTTATTTTTAACGCTTGATCACAGCGTCCTCTATATAGCGTCCTGTTAGCTATATAAACTCCTTAGGTACAGTACACGAAACAAGCGGCAATTGTTTGTTATTTTGAAAGTTTTATGTGTGTTGGTGATATCAGGTGTACTTGAGTAATGTCTACGAAACCTACATTGGGGTATTGGAACATTCGAGGGGTAAGTATTAATTATTGTTAGTAATTAAATTGAAAGTAAGTAGCAACTAAAATCGATACTTAAATGTTATATTTTCGAATACTACAAATATAACGTAATAAGTATATAATATTATGAAAAATTAGTGTATGGTATTAGTAGTACGATATTGAATCTGGTCGTCATTGTTGTTATAAATTATAATAATATCGCTTGTGAGTATGTGTCTAGTGTTTTCTAAGTGCATTTAAGTATAATTCTGTAGCTTTTTTTCTTGTATAATCATGAGTTTTTGATATTACTTTACCTGTTTTTTTTTTTTTTCTCTCTCTGAGAGGTAATTGATTAACAAATAACAATCTAAGGTTCGTGATTAATTATTGTTAATATTGCGTTATTTAAACCAACATTGCTAACTTTACACCTATCCTAGTGTTACGTCTCCGTTTGTTAATTAATTTTCCGTAACTTCGTTCCGACGAAACTTTAGCGACACAAGTCCTTACTTAATAAAACTGGTTTATTCTTTCCGAATATAACTTTACGATACATTTATTTTCAACAATCTCTCTATAACAAACGCTATATCAACGAATGTGCTCAGCTTCAATAATACTGTCTGACTGCAGATCAATTACTCACTGTCTACATACACATTACTCTGTCACGTTGTCACCCTCTTTTATAAACCA